GGACCTAGTGGAGGGCCACCAAAATCATATAAGTGGTCCTAGCGCCACACCTGGCAGACCCCTGCCAGGCAAAGCAAAACAAAAAAATAAAAGAAAACCCCCCGTAAAAGCACAACGTCTCTCCAGGTAAACAGAACCGGTCGCTATGCGTATATCAGACAGTGGCACAGTACCTCGCGCCCTTGCCAGCGACGAAACTACCTCCTACCCAAGGGAAAACGGAGCAAGAACTAACCCAGCAGAACCCCCATGGGCGGGCAATCGCCGAGCAGCAACAGAACCACGTGGAGGTAGTTTCCGAATGGCTCAGGGAAGATAACCCTCAAGCCGCAAAGGCAGTACTTACAGGGCACCTAGGGAATGCGGCCCTAGGTGCATGCAGCCCCAGTACTCGTGTTACTCCTGGCTCACATGATACCAAAAATGCACACCACCACCACACTGCAGTACTGTTCAATGTTGGGAGACAGAGTCGGTCGACCGTTCGCCCTCACAACAGCATGTGAACTGAGGAGAGTTGTCCGAGCGGAGGTCTGGGACCCCTCCGTCCCCCTTCCTGGGAAGGGAGGGGGGGTTGCCCAGACGGATACATGGCGTTTGTGGTGACGTCATACTGGTTTCCTTGGTTTTGATTGGAGAGTTCTGTTGCTAGTTCGGCTTTTGGTTTGCAATTAATTAATCAGCAGTAGTTTATTTTGGAATTCCTACCTTTCTGGGTGCCTGACCTGGTAGATGGCAGACAAAAACTGCTTCCAAGTACACGGGGGCGTCTTTAGGCCATTGCTCCTCGTGCCCCTCTTGAGGGGGCCAGGTTCTGGCTCTGGTCCCCGGTAGGGCTAGAACTCCTTCGATTGACTGTTGCCACGGTTTAATATATACACATCAGCCTGGTATAGCTCTGGGGTGCCGAAGAGGCTCTCCACAGAAACAGTGAGCTTCGCCCTGAGGCAAGGGAACAGAGCAGCCCTCAAATTCGCACAAGGCGAGAGAGGCCCCAGGGGTTACATCCATTGGACCCCGTGCGTACTCGCCGGGTTTCCCAGGGGGCCCCCTAGCATGGTATCGCTAAGGGGAAACCCAGGCAGGGTACTGCTAACCGGCGCCCAAGTCTACCAACAAACTTCTAACACTGAACTGTCGGGACGTGTCCACTCACGGAGGCCAAACGGGGTACAACCGAACATTATGTCAAGACCCTAATATAACTGGGGGCAAGGGACACAAGGCAGAACCCCCCTCCCCCACCAGGCAGAAAGAAAAAGAAAAACCCCACAAGAGGACAACGTACCCAAGAGGAACAGAGCCGGCCGTTGTTAATGGTGAAAACCATTAACACAGGGTACAGCTGTGCAGTACCTATCACTGCAAAAACTACCACTTACCCAAGGTAAACAAGGGAGGAAAGACACCCCAACACACTTGTGGCAGTCAATCACCGAGCAGCAAAAGACCAACAGAGGTAGACCCCAAGGTGATTTATAGAAGATAACCCCAAGCCCCAGGGGCGGTACTTACAAGGCACTCTGGGAAGGGAAACCTAAGCACATGCAGCCCGAGTACTTGAGAATATTACTCCCAGCTCGTACGCCACCGTAAGAGCAGTACTGAACCCAAGGCACAGCACAACGCAAGAGAGAATCAGGAGCTGGAGCCACACGACCATACCACAATCACATTAGCCGAGAACTCAGAGGGTGGATCGCAGGCGTGGTGGGTCTGGGGCTCCCCCTTCCCAATCCAGGGGAGGGGGGAACTGTAGACACATGTGGCGCAGCTCGTGTGACATCATGCTCATTTGCTCGTTTTCATTTGGGGAGTTCTGTCCACTTGTCTATTTTAGTCATTTTAACCAGAATAGAGGTTTGTTTTGAGGCCCTCACCTTTCTAGGTGCCTGGCCCAGTCGATGGCAGACATAGAATGCTCCAAATCCCACGTGCATTTCTATAGGCCACTGCTCCTCGTGCCTCTCTGAGGGGACCAGGTTCTGGCTCGTGGTCCACGGTAGGCCTAGAACTCCATTCACACTCACTGATGCCAAAGTCTAATGATATAATTATCAGCCTGGATAGCTCCAGGTGGAGCCGAAGGGGCTCTCCCAGAAACAAATGAGAGTATTTAGGAAAAATAGTAGCAGGAACATATTTTGAGCAAGCATAGACTAAACAGATAGAGCAGGAAGTGGTCACCCCCTTTCACTTCCTCGTGTCTCTGAAGAACTCTACACTTAACATGCACTTTGACAAGGTTTCACATGGACTATGATACACAAAATATATTTCCCACAAAAAATACCACAGCTTTAACAAATATAATCCAATATTTAAATTCATTCTAAGAAAAATTACACTGATCTTGAGCACCCTGTGCAAGTGAAGGGTTATTAATCTACACAATTATTACAGAATCATGAACCACAATATCACCACATTTCTAAATACTGTGTATGTAAAGCTTCAATTTAATATGTACTATTTAATGTACATTGAGCCCCAATTATCATCAGATCTGATAAGTCTGAGAATAAGTAGCTTGTTTTGTAAATGCTCTTTAAACCTGTAATGTTTGGAATATGAGCAAGTGCAGCTTAATGGTAACAAGAATACTGTACACACTTAATATTATAAAATTTTATAGTGAAAGTATAGTATTGACAGTATGCACAAATCAGCATGTAACATGTGCTATAATCAAAGACAATGAACTTATCAACTTTTTAAACAAAGATAGTATGTTAATGAGCTTTCAGAATACAGTACAACCTCGATTCAACACACCCCAATTCAACATATCTCTGGCTAGCTCGCACACTTTTCAGGCTGGATTTACTCACCCAGTTCGACAAACAATGGTTTGCCAAAGAGGGGAATGTTCGGATTTGCTTAAGATGTCAAGACAGAGTTCACAGACTGGTGGAAAACTTTCCCATTCCATCACAGGTTACAATTAATAATTCTTTCATATGACAAGTTGGATCACACAAGTGGACCACAAGTGGTCCACAAGTTTACGATGTTGGGACAAAGTTCACAGAGTGGTGGAAAACTGTCTCATTCTATCACAGATTACGATTAATAATTCCTTCATAAGACAAGTTGGATCACACAATTAGACCACACAACAAGTGAACCATATGAACCAAACAACAGATAGGGTGGTCCACACAAGTGAATGACTAAGTTTCAATAATTTTTCATTCACTGATTTGTGGCACACGTATCTTTGCAAATTAATTTAAAGGCTGAAGCGTCAATAGCTAGCTAATGTGTTAAAATCTTCGTATATACATTTTTTGTGATGAAACAAGATGAGTGAGAGTGGACAGGTAAGGAAATACTGTCCAGTAAACCTCACTATACAGTGAGGTTTCATTCACTTTCGTCTGTGTCGTCATAGTTCAGTGACCCATGACTTTGAACGTTTCAGATTAATAAATCATTTCTAAAACTGATGTTTTAATAACTCTTTATTATCCTAATTAAACTAAACTAAATAAAACCAAAAATATATTGTAATACAATAGATATCTGCTATTTGAGAAATTATTCATGTTATTGGCAGCACAACTCCAGCGCGAGACAGTGTGCACACAACACCATGCGTGTTTTGCTCAATTTCGTCGCCACAGTTCTGTGACCTACGGCTTCAAAATAATAATATTAATTAATCAGTTCTAAAATAATAAGAGCTATAAAAAGTACTTATCATAATAATGTTGCTAAACTAAATATATAACCCAAAAATATATAATTTGATGTACAGTAAATCCAATATGTGAGAGAAATTTATGTTACTGAATCTGGCTTAAACGCCAGCCTACTGTAGGGTGTATAGACCTAGTCTGCATTCGTACAGTAGGCATCCAGTACTCTTAGCTTTGTCCACGATTGACGTCTTAACTGACGTCAATTATTCTTCTGCCGGTGGAAGAATAATCGTGGAAATTTACTATTTTTTGACTACAGCTGTATTGTTATACAACAAAATATCTCAGGAGCTTACTAATAAAGCCTTATTAATGCCAAAAATGAAGCAATATTTTGCAAGAACTAGTAGCAGAAAATCAACCAGCACGAGCACAGCCGTACCCGGCACGAGCACAGCCGTACCCGGCACTAGCACAGCCGTACCCGGCACGAGCACAGCCGTACCCGGCACGAGCACAGCCGTACCCGGCACGAGCACAGCCGTACCCGGCACGAGCACAGCCGTACCCGGCACGAGCACAGCCGTACCCGGCACGAGCACAGCCGTACCCGGCACGAGCACAGCCGTACCCGGCACGAGCACAGCCGTACCCGGCACGAGCACAGCCGTACCCCAGCACGGGCACAGCGGTACCCAGCACCGGTACACCAGCAGCCAGCACCAGCTCAAAAGCAGCTGAGGCAAACACAGCAGCAGCGAGCACCAGCAAAGCTGATGCAAACATCTAAGAACATGGTGTGTGTGGAGTGTACAGTTAGAATAAATGTTAAATTTATGTACATAGTGTTAGTGTTAAGGTTGCAGTACAGAAATTTTAGTGTAAAATAGTTTTCATAAACTGTATTGTAGTACTCAACATACAGCAGAACTACTTATCAATACAGATCTAATGGCATAATACAGTAGAGTACGTATGTATTGTACAGCATTCACAACTCCAATTGTGAGAATTGTGAGAATTCAAGATGGACATAACTCCAACAATAAGGTAAATAACTGTAACAGGGTATTTTTTAGTAGAGTAGTAATATATAGGTACAGTATATAATATGATAATGCATTTTTATTGTTTACAAGAAAAAAAAAAGACACTGGCCCAAATGCCTCTTGAAGGTCACCTCTTGCAACAAATCCAATGCTCCAACACACCGGGATTGGTCCCATATAGTGCGTTGAATTGAGGTTGTACTGTACTTTTATTCTGAACGTATTTTCAAATTTTGCAAACTAGAGAGATCTAATTTGTAAATGTGAAAATCTTCTTAATAACAAATAAATGCAGCTATCTACTAACCATGAATAATATGCTGATCATTAAGAACTTCAATGCTAGACACAGATGGATTTGATATCACCTCGACATCGGATTCCCGTCGAACACACGACGATGCCTCACTGCACACGCTCACACTCTCACTAGACTCCCCCAAACATGAACCCGAATCTGTTCCTGGTAAGGTGACAACTTGTGACTTGAAAAAATAAAGTATTCTTCACCTTAACAAAAACAAGCAAAACATTTTATATGAAAAAAGAAGACATACAAGACAAGGATTGAAGGACCAAAACATTAACCCATAGAAACAGACATGTACTATATACACATTATGTATGCACAAAAAACTAGCGTTGAATGTAATGAAACGCCATTTTCTGGGCGAGTCCAGGAGGCTCCCCGGAGCTTACTAGGCAGATATGCTAATGTCAGACTTTGGCATCAGTCATGTGTATGGAGTTCTTATGGGCCTACCGGGGACCACGACCCAGAACTTGGCCCTCTCTAACCCTTAACATGCTAGGGGTATAATATCCTTTGTTTCCCACAGGCGCATGTAATTTTGAAAATTTTTCTTGCTAATCTGTTAATTTGTGTTCACTGATCATGGGAAAAATAATAAAAAAAATCGTAAGTGGCATATATTGCCCGCTATAGGGCGGGGAAGTCTGGCAAAAAACAGGCACTGACTCAGCGTGCGTCCCAGGCGGTCTGTTGATCGCCAGCTGTCAGGCCGGAGTTGCCACTGGAGCGAGAATATTATTGGGATATCTACTCGCGTGTAGTGTTTGAAATGGCGGGGTTACTGGCCGTTAACAGTCCCCGCCGAAGTAGTTTTCCGACCAGGAACACTGAGCCCTACAGTTGTGGGCTTGGTGTCCGAACCTCTGGTGGTAAAAACAAAGCTCTCCTCAGTGTTCTCGCTGTCGCCTAGATCCTGATACTGGATTCGCTTGGTACGTCCTTCCTGGGCGGAAGAAACGCCGGTTCTGGAGGACGTCGAGTTGTTGGGTGTCTGTAGTCTGCTGTGTATCATTGAGGTAGGACAGCGTAGCGTTATTAGACGTTGTATGAAGCCGGTCTGCCAGTGTAGCCAGCTGGGCTAATGGGGTGTCGTCAGCCATACTGAATAGGGCCGGTTGAATGTGTTTTGGACAGAGTTGTATCCAGAGTGATCTTACAATCTCGCTGGGGGCTGGGCCTGTTGCAGTATGCATCACATACTGAATATGCCACAGAAGCTGGGCTGGTGTTTTGTCTGCTAATCTTTTGTCAGTGAGGAGTTGATCCCTTTGTTGAATTCGGCGTTCCCTCGCTGCCTGTAGAAGAGTGGTCTTCAATGCGGTGTACGTCCTGGTGTCTGGTGATGGTGCAGTGATGATAGCGGAGGCAGTGTGCATCGCCAACGATGGAAGTGTTGGCAGGGTACAGGAATATCGGGCTTTCTCAGTCGTAATTTCGTGGTGGTCGAAAATAGCCTCCATCTGCATGAACCAAAATTCGGGTTCCTCTGCATTGTATGCTGGAAACCTGGTAGTTAAATCCATGACGAAGATCTAGTTTGTAACTAAGTTTTCTTTTTCACTCACTGGGTCACCAATGCAACGGTTCTATTGTTACGTAAAGTATGGTGACAATAAACACCAACACTAAGATAATATATATATTTGGTCGAATATACAGAAGTACGCAGGTGGTACTTTGGTGTGAGTTGAGCGCACTGAGCGTCGGTACAATATCTCGCAAGTGTCTGCTCTAGACCACAATTAAAAGTAGACTAGTTAATATTTGCTATTCTGCTGCTTATATGCTCGGGCAACACCTCACCTCATTCATCTCCAAAGGTTGACAGGAATATTAACACTTTCGCGCTTTAGATTAGAGATAACTCGTCACTGGTTTTTCTTACAATTCTGCATAACTGCCTACTTTTCTCGTCAATCAAAAAAATATTTCTATAAATTCCATTTTTTAACCGAAATGGATGGGGATACTTTTGTTTTGTAGAGAATTTATTTGCGAATTTTTTGGTACCAGAATGAATATTATATCACATAAACTTCTATGAGTAAAAAAAAAATACACAAAGTATGTTTGGGGGTGTGGCGAGCGTGTGGCAGTGGGTTCCCTTTAGCCGTTGATATATCCAACACGTGGGAAATATTTGTATGTGTTATGTATATGTCTGTGTAGGGAATTTTACTGCGATCACTGTCATACAAATTATAAAATGTTTCAACAAGTATAAACATGACAAACATCAAACGAACGAAAACAATGCGTTCGTTTCTGCAGCGAACGCATACTGAGCGACGTGGTTCTATATTTGGCGCTTCTCTTACACATGCTTTGTACCAATGTTATACAGTTCATCTTATAGAAAATTTTATTGCGAACACATTGGTATAAAAAAGAAATACGTACATAGAAAAGTAGGGTCAGGAAACGTATAAACTTTCCAAGCATGATTTCCCCCCTGTGTTTTCGCCAGTGCGCTCGCGGCTAACTACTCTCCACTTCACACACTCTTGCGGGTGGGCAATTACCTATATTAAACATTCATATGCATATGTCCGTGTAGAGAATTTTATTGCGATTCCAATGATACCAAAATTAGCGATGTAGGACAACTGTAGGCTTCGCAACCATTAAGAAAGTGGAAACATTTTGTTGCTGTTTGGCGCTCTCGGCGAGTGATCTGCATAGTTTTTTATTTGGTGTTGATACTCCTTATGCTTGGGGCGGCATTTTATAGGTATGCTCTTATAGGCAATTTCATTGCGAACACAGTGATACCAAATTTAAATACGTGCGCCTTCAATTATTGTCAGGACAGTCAAAAGAGTGTACACTTTTTCGGTCTTACCGCGTAGGCGCGCGAGGTGCCGAAAGCATCTGGGGTATTGTTTTTTTTTTGAGCGCCGAGAGCGCGAAAGTGTTAACAATGCATTTGGAGCGAGTATATTATTGGAATAATCTACTCGCTACACCACAAAGAGATAATTACCTAATTATTTCAATGTCTCTGATTTTTCAGTTTTTTTTTTGCTGTAATATTATTCAATAGTGTGTAGTTTGATATATTTATATAATAAAATGAGTGAATCATCGCTGTACTCAAAAATATGGTGTGCTTATTGTTGATTCAATTATGTTCATCAGTGAACAAATACTTTGTCGGTTATTACACTATATACACAGGTTATATATAAGTATCTGCATGTTTTGTTCACCATAACGAACCACTAAGTTGCTATTATGAGTCAAAAAGTAACGAGGAGTGACCGCCGTGTACCAGCCAGCCACTCACGCCCTCCCTCAAGTCACCTGACTCCTTACCTTGAGGTTACCTTGAGGTGCTTCCGGGGCTTAGCGTCCCCGCGGCCCGGTCGTCGACCAGGCCTCCTGGTTGCCGAACTGATCAACCAGGCTGTTGGACGCGGCTGCTCGCAGCCTGACGTATGAGTCACAGCCTGGTTGATCAGGTATCCTTTGGAGGTGCTTATCCAGTTCTCTCTTGAACACTGTGAGGGGTCGGCCAGTTATGCCCCTTATGTGTAGCACCCACATTCTCCTCCCACAATGCTGTTTTTGCTTTTATTCACTATATACAGACGCTATATATATAAGTATCTACATTCGTGTTCACCATAACGAACCACTAAGTTGGTATGCTGAGTGGCAGTGGCAATGGCAACCCGCCACTGGCTGCCACTTCCTCCCTCCCTCCCTCACCTCACCTGACTTGCCACCATTCTCCACCCACCATACTGTTTTTGCTTTTATATACAGACGTTATATATAAGTATTTACATGTTTTGTTCACCATAACTGTACATCTAAGCTCGTATGGTGAGTAAAGGCACAAAGACGTAGGACCTCACACAGTTAGCTGATGGCTGCCGCCCTCAAGGCCAGACGCACTAATATTTCTCTTTCCAACACTACTGTTTGTGGTGTTATTACGCTATATACACACATTATATATAAATATCTACCTGTTTTATTCACCATACTTGTACAAGTAAACTGGTATGGTGCCCACAGACCATCGTGGTAACCAGTAAACAACACCGTCGTCTGCACGACGCCACCACCCTCACCAAAATGGCGGCTCCCAACCTACTACTCTTGCTGTTTATACTCTCTATACACACGTTATATATAAGTATCTACATTTGTGTTCACCATAGCGAACCACTAAGCTGGTATGGTGAGTGCAGTCAATAAAAGGTGGCCACACACAGTCAGAAGACATCGCCACCACCCTCCCTCCCACAGCATTACTCCTCCCTCTATGGCGCACAGCGCTAAATATCACCACAATCCTGCTATTATCAGAACCCTGGTCAGTTTTATCACAGTCAGGGCGATGCTGTGGTCACAAGCTGAACAGCATTGCTGTGAGCTCATGCTGCGTGCGTCAGGCTTGGTAGCTCACTCAATACTGAGGCCCCTAACACCCGGGAGTTTGGCCCACGATTTTTTTTTTAAATGACGTCTGTTTATAAGAGCCCTGATGAAGGTGTGGTGAACCCCGTGTATCCGCGGGCCATTTAAATCTTGCGTAGTACTCCAACACGTCATATGACGTGTTGCGCAGTTTAAGGGCTAAAGAGGCAAGGGGAGCAATGGCCTATAGAAACCCCCGTGTAATTGGAAGCATTCTATGTCTGACATCGACCGGGTTAGGCCCCCAGCAAGGTAGGCATCCCAAAACAAACCCCTATTCTGGTGAAAATTGCAACCAAAAGGCGAACAAGTGGAAAGAACTCCCCAAACAAAAAATGAGCAAACTAGTATGACGTCATTCATTGTCGCGCCGCTGTCTACGCAGTCCCCCTCCTCCCCAGGAGGGGGAAGGGGCAGCCCCAGATCTACTGTGCCGGCGATCCACACCCCAGTTCTGAGGCTGGATGTTAAAAACACGCAAAAAATATGCTGACCGGAGGGAGGGAGGGATGCTGGGGAGCCTCCGGGACTCACCCAGAAAATGGCGTTTCATTACATTCAACGCTGGTTTTCTGTGGGGAGCCCCTACGGCTCCCCGGAGCTAACTACCCACAGAGAATAGAATAGGGACTTACCCGGGAGTCGGTTGCTGCTCATGTGTATAGAGTCCCGAAGCAGCCAATTGTCCCAAAGTTAAGACAACTGGCTGCATTCGCCGACCC